CCTATCTGTCTGTTCGTCTGTCTGTCCTATCTGTCTGTCTGTCTGTCCTATCTGTCTGTCTCTGTCTGTCTGTCCGTCTATCTGTCTGTCTGTCCGTCTATCTGTCTGTCTGTCTGTCTGTCTGTCCGTCTGTCTATTCTATCTGTCTGTCTGACCTATCTGTCTGTCCTTCTGTCCTATGTGTCTGTCCGTCTGTCTGTCCTATCTGTCTGTCCGTCTGTCTGTCCGTCTATCTATCTGTCTGTCTGTCCTGTCTGTCTGTCCTATCTGTCTGTCTGTCTGTCCGTCCTATCCGTCTGTCTGTCCTATCTGTCTGTCTGTCCTGTCTGTCTGTCCTATCTGTCTGTCTGTCTGTCCGTCTGTCGTTCGTCCTATCTCTCTCTCTCTCTATCTTATCTATCATCTGTCAGACTGCATGACCTTGAAACTACAAACTGAACACCGTCTAATTAAATCTTTTAATCTTTTAAAACTACTTCAAACCTTTGTCTGGGCTTTCTCAAACAACATCAAAGTTAGTCTGGACCAATTTTATTTATTTTTTTACCTGATTTTCTTTAATAATTTGACAGTTTGTTCAGAAATGTAAGGCCGAGAGTGTAACGTCATGTGCTGATATGATTAGTGTTGTTGTTCTTGTTAGTACACCATGCTCTCTGGCCAAGTTCCGTTCCAGAGTGAGAAGAAAGGAATGACATCATCGCACGCAGCTGACATCATGCACAAGATCAAAGAGGGAGATTTCTCATTGGACGGGGAAGCCTGGAGGGGCGTGTCTGAAGAGGCCAAAGATTTAGTGAGAGGTACTTACACTGAAACAATCGAAACTTGCTTGAGTGCTGAACAATCTTAGTCCAAGGGAGGGCTGGATAATGCCATCATCGTAAATATACTAGTTATTATACAAGTTACAATATTATAAGTTAGAATAACCTCCAACGTAAGATGTTTAATTAATGTTTTGGGTTGTTTGAAATTAATTGTTGTAATTGAGCATTAGAACATAAAACTAGCTACATATAATACATATTATTACTTACTGCTAGAGATGTGCTCTGAAGTGACAGCATTGAACAAAAAACGTAAGCAATGAATGTTCATGATTATGCGTAATGTGACTTTTGCAGAATTCGAAATTCAGTTACAACTTTATAGAAACTAGTCAAATAAGAACTGTTTTTATTTTTATAATTACAGCATAGTTATTGTAGCATTTGGCACATATGCACTCACCCATAAATAATGCTTTTACTCTAGCAGCGCACACACACACATAGATATAATAACATTTATGCACTTACCAGATGCTTTTTTACAAAAAAGTAATTCATCAAAGAGCTAGTAATATTTGTAATATACAAAGCCTTTGAAGTGTTTTTCATTGAGTCGATCAGCGAGTCGACGGCGAGAGCCACCAAACATTCAGATGACAACAAAGCATTTTTTTGTTAAGATAAAAAAAAAAAAAGATTCTTAAGAAAATATTTAAACATTTTTCAAGAATTGAACTTCCTTCTTGGAATTCATATTACAGTTAAAATCTTCTTTCACAAAACCCCAAGGGGGCCTTAAGATGACTTAAAGTTATTTAAATATATTATTATTAATATAATTTTTGAGGTCAGAGTTTGGTTCATTTGAATGAAATAAGTGCTGTTTTCAAACTCATCTGCAATCATCCTGTACTGTGTGCAGCTTATCTGAACGCTATCGGAAATTAACCTCTATTGATGATGTATGATTTGGTCACGTGTGTGTGTGTGTGTGCTCAAACAACATCAAAGTTAGTCTGGACCAATTTTATTTATTTTTTTACCTGATTTTCTTTAATAATTTGACAGTTTGTTCAGAAATGTAAGGCCGAGAGTGTAACGTCATGTGCTGATATGATTAGTGTTGTTGTTCTTGTTAGTACACCATGCTCTCTGGCCAAGTTCCGTTCCAGAGTGAGAAGAAAGGAATGACATCATCGCACGCAGCTGACATCATGCACAAGATCAAAGAGGGAGATTTCTCATTGGACGGGGAAGCCTGGAGGGGCGTGTCTGAAGAGGCCAAAGATTTAGTGAGAGGTACTTACACTGAAACAATCGAAACTTGCTTGAGTGCTGAACAATCTTAGTCCAAGGGAGGGCTGGATAATGCCATCATCGTAAATATACTAGTTATTATACAAGTTACAATATTATAAGTTAGAATAACCTCCAACGTAAGATGTTTAATTAATGTTTTGGGTTGTTTGAAATTAATTGTTGTAATTGAGCATTAGAACATAAAACTAGCTACATATAATACATATTATTACTTACTGCTAGAGATGTGCTCTGAAGTGACAGCACTGAACAAAAAACGTAAGCAATGAATGTTCATGATTATGCGTAATGTGACTTTTGCAGAATTCGAAATTCAGTTACAACTTTATAGAAACTAGTCAAATAAGAACTGTTTTTATTTTTATAATTACAGCATAGTTATTGTAGCATTTGGCACATATGCACTCACCCATAAATAATGCTTTTACTCTAGCAGCGCACACACACACATAGATATAATAACATTTATGCACTTACCAGATGCTTTTTTACAAAAAAGTAATTCATCAAAGAGCTAGTAATATTTGTAATATACAAAGCCTTTGAAGTGTTTTTCATTGAGTCGATCAGCGAGTCGACGGCGAGAGCCACCAAACATTCAGATGACAACAAAGCATTTTTTTGTTAAGATAAAAAAAAAAAAAGATTCTTAAGAAAATATTTAAACATTTTTCAAGAATTGAACTTCCTTCTTGGAATTCATATTACAGTTCAAATCTTCTTTCACAAAACCCCAAGGGGGCCTTAAGATGACTTAAAGTTATTTAAATATATTATTATTAATATAATTTTTGAGGTCAGAGTTTGGTTCATTTGAATGAAATAAGTGCTGTTTTCAAACTCATCTGCAATCATCCTGTACTGTGTGCAGCTTATCTGAACGCTATCGGAAATTAACCTCTATTGATGATGTATGATTTGGTCACGTGTGTGTGTGTGTGTGAGTGTGTGTGTGTGTGTGTGTGTGTGTGTGTGAGAGTG